TCGAAATATCGCTTCGATTATATCTTGTTTTTGTTTTGTTGTTTCCTTGGTCCGCCCCCTTCTGGTCGTGTTCGCTTTTGATGGAAAGGCGAGAAAATCTTTGCCACGCGACATTTTCTGCAATTAGGGGCAAAAACACGTACCAGGAATGGCAAGCGGAATGGCTAGGTCTGTGCTCGGAGGCAGGGGCAGAGGCAGACACAGACGCAGACGCAACTCTGGATGGGGGGCATGCCGCTGAGGCATACCTTGAATTGAAGATCCCCCCGCGGGTTTATCATAATACGAAAATCTAGCATTGGCCCAGAGTTAAATCTTTAATGAGACGGAAAGCGAGCGCCAATCGCTGCAATTAAAATTAATTACAGTATTTGTCAGCTTAGCTCCGGCTAACCAGGAGGCCACCGCAACGGAACGGAGCGGAGCGGAAAGGCAGGCCAGAAGAGCGGCCACGAAGAAGAGCCATCGCCGGCTCATTCACCAATCTCTGGGATGGGATGGGCTGTGCTGGGATGGAGGAGAGGCTGGAGAGGAGCCCTGCATTGATTGCAATCGCGATCGTTAATTAAATGTCCAAAGGAATGTTGTTGCTGTTGTTGCAAGTCGTTGCTGCTGCTGCTGCTAGTGGTGCTGCCTCCTGTGCGTAAAGATCAGCCAGCCTGGATAAGGGGCAAGTTGCAAGTTGCAAGTTGCTCTCTGGCTGCCGGCTATTTATATCTGCAGCACGTTGTTGCACGCAATGCGATGTCTGTCCCCAGTCCCCCGTCCCGTACATACAACAAAACTCAGATCCAGCTCCCTCCCCCTCTCGCTCCCCTCCCCAAGCAGTTCCAAGCCCCCGTGTAGTGCTGCTGCGGGCATTATCGCCCTTGATCTTGGCTAAATCGAAATCGCCGGCGTTGCGTGAAGTGTTGCAAATGAGTTTTTGTCTGGGGCGTGCAACGCATTTTCAATTGGTCTGCAAATTGGCAGCGCCAACGGAAAACAGTCCGCAAATGAAGCCCCAAGCCTTGCATCGTACAGGTGGCAGATATTCTATATTCAAAATAGGGAATATAGGAGGGAAATAGGGGTATTTTTGGGTGATTTTGTCCTCAATAATGGTGTGGAATATCATTATTACTGGAAACTCATGGGATTTTCTATGAAAACGTTGACATTTTTTGGCGATTGTACTATATTATCAGATCTTCATTTGATGTGGAGAACTTTCCTTGACCAACGGTTAGTACATCCCCTTATATCTAGTGCTTCGAGTGCCCCATTCTGTAGTTGCAACATCCACACTGAATAATGAATTGAATGACTGAATGATCCAACCCATAGATAAATATTTAATAATTATTCCGCAATACTCCGATATATCTGGGGCCTCCCTCCAACAAGTAGTGCCAATATTTATACGGAATATCCACTTTATATAGGGAGAGCCTGATATATGTACGTATGTATGTCCGCCCAAGTGGGGAGAGACAAAGTTTATTGTGGGATGGGGCATCGAAACAAATGTTAGCATTCCTTTTTTTTTTTTTTTTCTGAGTGCTAATTGTTTTTGCAAATGTTTTCATATTAATTTATGCACACAGATGCCTGCTGATGCATTCCACTGAGAGAAAACTCTCGCGGATAATGTGTACCCCGTATTCCCTCAGGGCCTATCTGCGCTGACTCTCAGTGTCTTTCTGGCCGCGTGCCTAGGCCAACACAACGACTTGCGCTCCGCAATGGGCTGCGGCACCCTCTTGGACGATCCGGATCGAAGCTCCGCCTCTGCCTCAGTCTCGCTATTGGGACTAGCCTTCGAATCGAATACCGTATATGACTAACACAAAATGAATTTAAATCGGTTGACTCTATTTCTATAGCTGCCATAGAAATCCACTTATTTTCAATGCTTTGAATTTACCGCCCCAAAAACTCGCCTCTTTTTAAATTTCCATTCTTTTCCCCAGTCTTTAAAAACAATTTCAAATTTGAATTCAAACGCCGCGCTTTTTTCATCCCTTACAACACTATCTATAATCTGCTGCCGCTTAACAACATTAACTCCTGAGTCAAAGCAACTCTGTGCTCCCGCGGGGAAGAAGAAGAAGCATAACAAAAGTTAATTTTTATTTGCATTGTAAAAAAGTAAAAAAGCAGAATATTCCGCTCATGTCAATCATAGAAACGGCAATACATCATCAAAAACCGCAGCTTCATACGATCGGTGATGCAATAAAAGAAAATCGTATGGAAATCTATAATTAAAACGGAAAAATGTTGGTTTATTATTAAGACCTGCCACCACAAATGGCGTCATAATTCTCTTTGTTGTTGTTTTTGTGCACCCAAAACATACGTGCTAAAAAGATGTGTGTCTGAAAATACCCGATGCATATTATATGGAGATGACTTGGGGAAAAATGAATATCTAAAGAATATCCCCGCAATCGTCGGCGCTGAAGACTAATTGGCAACTGATTTCGATGCCTCGCTGAGAAGTCTCTGGTATAGTCCTTATTCATTCGGATCCTACGTACCTCTCTTCCTTCGTGTGTCATTCAGTGGATGTCTGTATTTTTCAGCTATGTGACATGCTGTACGTGCGGAAAGTACCGCGGCCCCAAGTGCGCTGACTGGCGGCCCAAGGATGCCGACTGGGAGTGCCAGCTGTGCCACAGCTCCAAGGAGTCGCTGGCGCACACCTCCTCCTGGGTGGCGGAGCAGATGTCCTTTAACCAGCACAAGTTCGTGTATCCGATGCGGGCTCGCAGCGACAGTGACTGTTTTGTATAATCGGGCATAAATATCTGTAATGTAAGCCTATAGATGGCTCACAGAAAACTTGAGAACCTGAACCTGAACAGAACAGAAGAGAACAAACGTCTGCCAGCCAGTTCGAAGTAATCGTCGTCTGGGGATCTATTCCCGCAGGTGGCTGGCTCTCCCCTGGCGAGCGGAAGTAGCAGCGATCGATGAAAACATCCAACAGCGCGCATGCGCGCAGGCGGCTGTGCGCTAAAAACGCTTAAGCGGCGTTGTCGTTGGCGCATGTACAGGTAAAATGTGCGTGTGTGCGTGCCCGTGCACCAACACAAGTGTCTGCACCCCCACTTTGCCGGAGTGTGTGTCTGTGTGCTTGTGTTTGTGAGCGAGTGTCAAATGCCACTAATTGAAACTTCTTCAATTGCCTACTTTATTATTAAAATAATAAATATACTAAATATACTAATACTAAATATTACCCTAATTAAAAAAATTAAATTAAATTATTTTCCAAAAAATTGTTTAAAATTATTAAAATAATAAATATACTAAATATACTAATACTAAATATTACCCTAATTAAAAAAATTAAATTAAATTATTTTCCAAAAAATTGTTTAAAATTATTAAAATAATAAATATACTAAATATACTAATACTAAATATTACCCTAATTAAAAAAATTAAATTAAATTATTTTCCAAAAAATTGTTTAAAATTATTAAAATAATATATTGGGATCTGAGGAGATAGATGACAGTCTATCCATGGTGCTGGAGGCCATAAAACGGCATGGGTACTCCAACCGGCTGATGGGCATCATATCTGATGGATGCCCCGCCAATTTGCTGACGAGAGTGAGCGCCGCCAGGGAGTACCCAGTACTTTGGGATATCGTACATCTGCGGAAGATTTTGGCAAAATATCGCGTTGTCGACAGAGTACTGAGCCCCGTTTACAATTTTCATTTCACTGCGGAAAAATGGCGGGATACGGAGTTCCATACAAGTTTATGGCAACACTCGTGGGAGTCTCGGTGTTGGATACTCCCAACCCGGATGGAGTCCACCCCGGAGGTATATATATAAGAGATATTGTACATTGAAAAAAAATATATACACACAGTGGCGTTGAATTTTTTTTTCAATTTTTACCTGCAAAGTATAGTATTAAAAGTTTGAGTAAAACAGTTTTTTGGGCATTGTAAAAACTTCTCTGAAAGAGAAGTAATTGTAAATGATTCTATCTCACTCTAACATGGGATTTCGCTTTACATTTACTTTTACATTTACTTTACATTTACATTTACATTTACTTTACTTTCAACCACGTTTCCACACGCAGGTCATTTTAAGGTCACGTTGGGAAACGAAGTTGGAAACGTGGAAACGTTGGGACACAATTTTCGCATTCTAGCGACTAAAAACGCCTGAAACCCTCTGCAGAAACCGCTTCAAACCATATTCAAAAATCGCCTGCAACAATGCTTTGCAACCACAAAATGCAAATGAGCCACGTGCATGCCGGAGGAGTTCGAGCGACAAGTGCAGCGGCCAACATGTGCGTGTTCGAGTTGGGAGCCGGCATAAAATCAGCAAAAACAAGTTTTGTTCGATGTTGCCATAGTGATGAGCGGGCTGGACGTAAAACGAAAAGAAAACAAACAAAGATACACATTAGGGAAAGAAGTTCCATGGAAATATTCATAGGGAATGAAGCAAAAGTGGCCCTCAATCTCTTTCCACTGCCATTGACTGTCGCCTCTTGGCCCCCCAGCCAATTGTCTGGCTGCCACAAATGTCTTTCGCATAGGGGCACATTTGTCATTCTCAGACCTCCTCCCACAAACCCTCTGACTGTGTCTCTTATCAGTGAATTTTTATCACACAGAAAGAAGTGACCCACACCCTAAGTCGAACCAGAGTTCGCTTCGAACATGCCCCAACGTGCTCTGCTATGCGCTGGCAACATGCTGGAACTCTCCACGCTCTCTGCAATCGGTTAAGGCTCTCTTTTTCGCTCTCTTTGCATGGGTAGCAACACTCATTCCATACACAAATGTTGACCATTTCATGCACAAATGTTGCGGCCACATTCATTTGTATGGGCCAGACTCATGTGCCGCGGAAACGAGCAACATGTCCCGCAACATTCGGCATACCCTAGGGAAAATTGGAAGTTGGCGCGTATTGGCAGTCCACGGCCTTGCCGCCCCATTCGAATTTTGGCCGTTGAAATTGTTGGACGTTTGGATGTTGGCAGTGCGCTGCATTTCTTTTCTTCCATCCAAAAAAAATACGTGAAGAGTCCGCCGACGAGCACACCTCTACGCGCGCAGGTGTTTGTCATTGTGTGCGTGCCGTACCTATGCTTATGTGAGTGTGTGTGTGTGCCTGTGTGTTGTGCGAGTGTGAAGAGTGACACAACACAACAACAACAACAGCAGCAGCAGCAGCAACGGGGCCGCAATCAGCTGTGAAGGTGCGAAAGCAAAATGCAAATCGAATAAATGGTTGGCCAAAAATTACGAATTATCAGCGCGAATTCTCCCGTAAATTCCATATCTCCGAAATCGAAACGAAGCGTGCGGCTCTAAATCAATCGGAAAAAAACTAACATAAAATAATTTTCAAAAATATTTCAAACAAATAATATACAAACAAAGGAACACAGAAGCAGCAATCGGCGTTAAAGTGTTTACCATAAATTTGCTTGCGGATGAGCAGCAGTTGGAGGAGGTGAAGAATCCAAGGAATCCAAAGAGAGTGCTGCAGAGGGAGGAGAATCCATCAGCACAGCCGCAGAGAGAAGGAGAAGCCGTCATTTCAGCAGCAGGTGGATTGCGCGGGGGTAAGTGAAACGGAGAGGAAAACGGAAATGTAACGGTGCGGCCGGAGGAGTAAAGCACTCAAATTTGTTGTTAGACTTGCTTCCCACTCTTCCGTCCGACACGCGACCCGCGACCTGCGACCGGGTTGTCTTGGGGGTTGGATGGAACATATTCTGTCTCAAGTCACAACCTCAGCGGCTGGCACCCACCCCGGCACCTGCTGCTGCTGCTGTGCCTGCTGGCGCCTTCGCCCTCCCTTCCCGCCCCCTTTGCCCGTGACAACAGATCAAACATTTGTTTTTGTTGCGTGTCTTTGCCGACGCCGCGCGGCGTCCCGTTAACTTGGACTGACATTTTACATGGCATTGCTTTTTCTTCTTCTTCTTGTGACTGCTTCTTGTGTTGTTTTTGGTTCTCATCCAAACCCCACCTTCTCCTCATTGTTGTTGTCGCTTTCGTCTTGCATGAGTTCTCTTTCACAGCTCTTCCGCATGCTCTTCGTGCATTGACTTTTTGTCTCTCTTTCTGTCTGCAGCAGAAGCTCTGCTGTTCCTGTTACTGTTACTGATAGGTGGGAGTGAGTGAAAGAGAGATCTTTGATCGGGAAAAAATTTCGAATAGTGGGCGGGGGAGAGTCCTCTCTGGAAAGACAGAGGGGACAGGGTATCCACGATTCTTCATACATTTCGGATCAGATTTCACGTGTTTTTGTTTGCAAATGTCTTTTTATTGGCCATTTCCTTGACTTTGCTTGTCTGTTTTGCTCTCTTTTTTTTTGGCACTGGTTGGCCCTCGTCTGCATGTACTGGCGTGTGCGAAAAGAAAAAATCAATAAATTTCATTTGATTTTTATGTTGCGCCTCCTGCCCCATGCACCACCCCCCCTCCCCTGCTCACGGCCGACCTAGCCCACAGCTGTGTCTGGGAGAAGGACGGACGGAGGGAGAAGAACCGTTGAATGGAAGCGCTTTGTATTTGCCTTTGGCTTTGCAATGACAGCTACGCCACCCCCACCCCCATCTCTACCCCTTAGTCCTACGCCTAGAGCCCTTAGCCAACCCCCAACCCAGCCTTCCTCCCTCCAGCCCCTAGTCCTGGCCTCACCCAAAGCTCCCTCTCTCGCGTCCACCCTTTGGCTTGCTCGCTGTCTCTTTCTGTGCGTTTTGCCGCGTTTTGTTTTGCTCTGGGTCTGGCCTAGAATCCAGCCAAGAGAAGAACCGAAAAAACTTGTCTTTTGTTATTAATTATCAAAGGCGGCTCCCCCGAGGAAGGGGCGGGCATCGCTAGCCAGACCCGCCCAAATTAGACAGACAGACGGACGGACGGACAGATGGATGGATTGGTGTCAGCGGCAGGGGGCAAGGGGCAGCCCAAGAGCCGCCTCTATACTAGTCTTCTAATTAATTCAGAACTTTTATTAGATTGGGCTCTCCACTGGAAACCCGTTCTCTTCTCTTCCACTGCACCATTACTCACGGCTGTACACGCTATACTCAAAGATAAGATAAGATTAGAATGCTTCAGTTGGAATGGGGTATATCTTTTGGGGCCAAGTGTAGCCCCGTCCGGGGGTTATCTTTGCCTGGGATTTCAAATGTCATAATGGAATAATTTGACAACTGGATTGTTGACAGTTTTCTTATGTCATTTGTTTTGTGCAGCGAACACCTCTCTTGAGCAGCAGTCTTGAGGGTAAATCCTGAGGCTAATTCGTTCCCATCGCTCTTTCTTTTAGCAGTTTCTTTGGACGGCACCTTTAGGCCGTCATTCACCCTACCCTTGACTCCATGACTCCATTAGCCACAGCAGGAAAATCAGGTGAAAATGGCATTTCTCTGTGATTCGGGGCATCCCCTCTCATGCTCTCCTGGGACCCCGTCAAGTGGGTTTATACTCCTGTTTCGCATTTGTTTAATTTCAAAAAATTCACCTTTATCGCCCTCGTTTGTTGCCTGTGACGACCTGTGGGCGAGAGGGTTCCGTTTAATTTCATTTCCATTTTCCATAAAACGAGTTTCTGGCTTTCTCAGCGGAAAGGGAGTAGGGAGAGAGTAGGTGCTTGGGGCTTGGGGCTGGAGTTATGGCTGAAACCAAGTCCGGGGTTGACCGAGGTCTGGCTCTCCCTCTTTTCTCCCTCTCTCTGTGGCTCGTTTGATGCTTGGTTGCATCATTAAGAGGCAGCGGCGGCGGCGGCGGCGGCAATTAACTTTAATTATTTATGTCGGCCACTGGGATCGAGAGACGGAACGGGACGGGACGGGACGGGACGGGACGGGACGGGACGGGGAAGGGGCAGCTGGAGCCCACCTGCGGTCCTCGGGTAAAAGTTAAAGCTGTTGCCATTTATGTTAATTTAAATAAATTAATCACTCCACATATTAGTCCTCTTTAGTGTGGCTTACATCATGTCGCAAGAAGATTGTCGAAACCGTCGCAACCGTCGCAACCGTCGACGGTTCTGTTTTCCGTATCTTTTGTGTCTGTGTTCTTTGCCGTCGTCTGCTTTTCAACAGCTGTTGGCTCTGAATTTTCCTATCAACTGCTGCTAACTGCTTCGGCTACCACCTCTTCTTCGACCTGCCCGCCTGCCGTATTGCCGTATTTTGCACGTCTGCACGTTCGCCACTGCAAAAAAGAGCCAGAAAAAGCTGTTCCAAACCGAAGAAAAACAGCAAAAAAACAGTTGTCAAAATGTGGTACATGGGAAAAAAATTATTCACTATTCTTTTGTCTTGTAGTTTTTTACGTATTGCTGCACGTTCCTCAGTGGAATATCCGATATCTTCTAACCAGCGTAATGTGGGGCAGAGGGATTCCTTCAGGGGCGGAAATGTTTTGGGGCACGTTCCAGGGCTTCGGTTACCCGAAAGTCGATTGATACACTCCTCCATCCGTAACACAGCTGAAAGTATCTAAAAGAAGTATCTTTCATTGTGGAATCTTCCATGGAAACAGTTTGGCAATCCAATCATCTTTGTCTTTAGAATTCCCCATTTCCGTTTCGGCTTTTCAGGTTTCTTCCTTCCATGTTTCGAGTTGTCTACTGGCTGACCCAGTAATTTCCCTTTGAAGAAAGTTGCTCCTTGGCAGAATGGTCCCCGTAACCATACCCTTACCCATACCCTAACCGTAAACATATAGAATGAACAAACTTTATGTCAGAAGAGATCTTTAGTCCAGAGTTTTCTGTGTGTTGTGTTGGTCTTTTGCTTGATTTTCGGGTTTATTTTTCATTTCTCATATTTTGTTTGTTTGTTTCTGGCTTCTGGCCTTTTATAGTAAGTATAATGCTGTGCTGTGCTGTGCTGTGCTCTCCCGTGATGATAACAATGCTGAGCAAAACTTTTTAGCAGCCTTTTATGTACTCTCCCCTCTCCCATACCCCAATACCCCACTTGCCTCGCACTCATTCGTTCTTCCTTGGACGCTTCCTTCTCCTCTGTAGCTCTTTTTGGCATCTGGAAGCTCGGGATTCTCTCCTCGGGATCCCTCTCCTTGAGAAGGAGAGCATTCTGACGCGTAATTCATTACGAGTCTGAGGGTTCGCCTTGGGGCTGGGGCTCTGTTTACTCCGGTTTCTCTGGTTTCTGGCCTTTGCGGAAGTCTCAGTTTCAGTTTCACTGCAAGATATCGCACAAACTATTTGTATTTTTGTATCTGAGTTCTGCTCATACTTTATCCCCACACCCACTCTCTTGCTCCATTGTTCTCTGGTCTGCTCTCTCCCCTAATCTCTGCTGCTGTGGTATGCCTTGGCCTGTTGTTCGTTTATCCTAAGTCTACGCTTATGAAAACATACATTTTTCACTGGCGATAAGAAGTTTCTGACACAGTGAAAGCTCTGCTGAGCGGACTGTCCGCCCCAGAGAGCCTGCACTGTATCTACAATATTAAATATACATAAATATCTAAGCGCTACTGGGGAATGCTTATCCCGTACATATCCCACATACGTACAAATTCCTCTCTAAGAGTTTAAAGAGTCGACTAGGCGATAACCAACATTCCTTTAGATCTTATCTGGATAATCTGTATATGAAATAATCCCTTCTGTTAAAGGAGAACCCCAGAAGCTTCCACAGATTCGAATATCTCTGGGAAAAGCCTTCCCTCCTTCCTGCAACTGAAAATCTGTTACAGTCAGCGAATAAATTGCACTCATTAAATATTTATTAGATTGCCAGACGCCTAGATTCCCGGCTCTCCTCCCCACTCCTCCCCACTCCTCCCCACTCCTCCACGGAATACTCAAGTGCGAGTGCGAGTGCCAGTACTCGTATCCATGGGCTATGTATCTCCTGAATGTATCTTCCCTTCCTTGACTTTCTTTCTTTATAAATTCATAAAAATCGTATGCGATACACGGACAGAACCCTTTTGTTCATATGATAATGAGAGCTGTTGCGCCTCTGTTCGTTCTCCTTTGGGTTCCCTCCCCATCCCCATCCCCATTCCCCCGCCCCTCTTTTCTGTGCCTATTTTGGCCAGAATTCTTTGGGTTCTGCCCCTCAAAGTCATGACATGTGCCGGCGCGGACCAATTTATGGCCATGGATACTATAAATTGTGGCCGAAGCTATTGATTTGCTGTTGGCCATTCAGGCTGCCGCTGCTGCTGCCGCCGCCACTGCCACTGCTGCTGCGTGTGGTGACAGTTGACAGTTGAGTTACAAGGTCATTATGTGGGGTTGTGTGGGGCGGAGTGGCGTGGAAGTGGAAGTGGGGAAGGGAACTGACTGGACCCATAGACTGGAACTCGTTGGTGCGTCATGGGATAGAAACGTATCTATGGGTCTGCGGGCAGGCGGGCAGGAGAGCAGGCGAACGCGTGTATGAGCGCAATTACAGTTAATGTCCAAAGCGTGGATTCATTTCCGTTTTAAACAATTTTTGCCTTCTTTTGGATTTTTTGTTCGGTTTTTCGGTTGATTGATGGTTCGGAATAGAGAGGCTGAAAGGTCATCCCATCCGAATGACTGGCAGCAATCTCTCATCCATTGTTTTGCCACACAAAGGAGAAG